CTCCACATCGCACGAGAGAAGCTTGGAGGCTGACAACAGATTGTATTTCAGGATTTAAACGATGAAGATGTCGTTCAGGGTGATGTGGGTTCTGGAGTTGTGAGCTTGGAGGACCATTATCCCTTGTGGTTTGGCTTCCAAGCGCTCGTTGCTGGAGACAGTGGCGTAGGTCATCGCAGGAGTTGAGACTGCATTGGAGATAAACCGTAAGGAACCAACCATGTGTTGGCCACATCAGGTGTCCAGGTATCACACATTGCGCCGGGTGCTGTGCGCGAGCATTACGATCCGCAGAGTGGGAGGTAAGGTCGAATTTATTGTGCAGAGGATGTTCCCGAGGGAAGGATTCAAACTCCCTCTGGTTGCCTCCAAAGGTGGAGTCAAGGATGTACTGAGTCGGCTCGAGAAGGGAAATGGGCAAGTTCCATTCCTACTCCTCCTCCTTAGAGATGTACTCCCCACCTTCGATATATGGGTTGTTGTAATCAGAAGGGAGCACATCCAAGAAGAAGTCGCTTGGTTTGTGCGAGGCAGAGGTACGCGTGGGCGTTGATTTGCTCTCTGTGCGAGTGCGGGGGTCCTCATCGCAATAAATGCTTGTCGGTGGATTGCCGGACCATGGGTGCCTGAGTCAGACGATGGTCTATTGGTCCACGAGGACGCGGACTGGTCGAAATTCCGTGTGGGACGGGCGACTGCTCTGGCGCGGGTTGGCGAGCAGTGCTTGAGCCGTCAAGCTTGAGAGATTGGAGTCCATCTTCAAGAGTTGTCATTTGATAAATTAATATTTTGACGAGTGCCGTGGGGACGGTTGTTGTTGCCGCTGGATTTGGAGTGATATTTGCAGGTGATTTAGGAGGAGGGCTTACTTTCGCTCGTGATCCAGAGCCTAGGGCCATTCTGTGGTGGGAGCGTATTACTGGTGCCACGATCTTTGAATTTGAACTTGATCAAGAGTGGCGGTGTGTAGAATCCTGAGAAGCTCTAATTACCATGAAGCGATCATAACAAAGGCCGTAGGATCGTCAGGATTGAACACTTGATGTAGGGCGTTTTTCGGAAGCAATTGAATTGGTCGATGTCCCTGTCAGAGTGAATGTAACTTAACAAGATGTTTACACCTAAGGAGACACTGGGTTTATATGCCAATGCACTTCAGGGGTACATTCCTTTTGGATGTGAGATCCGACTCGATTAACTACCCACGACTCGGGTAACTACCCAGACTGTAAACATCGGGTAAGTTATGTGCCCTTGATGCCGTGTCGCACTCTTGAACTTCCGACAGTTGAGTTAACAGTCAACGGTCAATGACCATTGCACTTTGTAATTGGACTCAGGCGCGTACTCGATAGGACTTATAGCGCGTATACAGGTGTTACTACTCGAATGTTACTTTCAAGAATGCATACTGGGATTCCTTATCACAACGCTATGATGAACTTCACAAGGGTGCATTCCTTGAGGTTTGAGATCCGGCTTGAGTAACCGCGTTGAACTTTGGTAACTGCCCATGCTGTAATACGTGGTCAGTTATGTGTCCTTGCTGCCGTGTCGGACTCTTTACTGTAAATCTGATAGTTGAGTTGCCGGTCAACGATCAACAGCCGTTGCCCTTCGCAACTCGGCTGAGGTGCGTACCCGATAGGGATTATTGTTAGCATGCATATATATGTTAGTTTATATATACGCCGTAGCCTAGCTAGAGGCAGTTCATAGAGGGGATAATACTTGGTCATATTCCTGTACCCACCTCCCTTTAGTCAACAATTCTCGCAATATGGTATCATGCTAGGTCGCTCCTAGCCGTCGCGCTTCCGCCCTAGCTAACCTCAGTCTAGGATAGGACTTAGGCTCCCGCCTTAGCTAGTGCCAAATCTCGCGCCCTCGCCCTAGGCTGCCGCCTTGCCTCCTCGCCGCGCTTCCCCCCCCCCCCCGCACTCGCCGCCAGTGTGCCGCCGTGAGCTTGCCACCAGCTCACTGCCAGCTAACCGCTGCCAGCGGCTCACTAGCCACCTGTTGCTGCCAGTTCGCCACCGCCAGCTCACCAACTCGCTGCCAGCTCGCCAGCTGCAGCGTGCCGCTAGCCAGCTCGCCGTCACCAGCTCATCGCCAGCCAGCCAGCTTGCTGCTGCCAGCCAGCTCGCTGCCACCAGCCAGCTCGCCGCCGCCCGCTAGCCACCAGCCGGCTCGCTGCCGCCAGCGTGCCGCCAGCTTGCTGCCGCCACTCGCCAGCTCGCCGCTGCCAGAAGCCACCAGCCACAGCCAGCTCGCTGCCGCTCGCTGCCGCCAGCCACTGCTAGCCGCCGCCAGCTTGCTCACTGCTACCTGCCGTCGCTAGCCACTGCTGCTCGCTATCGCTCGCTGCCGCCAGTCGCCGCTAGCCACCGCCAGCCACCGCTAGTTGCTGCCAGCCACCGCTAGCCATTGCCAGCTTGCTCACTACCGCCTGCCGCCGCTAGCCGCTGCTGCTCGCTGCCGCTCGCTACCGCCAGCAGCTCACTCACTGCCACCAGCCGCCGCTAGCCACTGCCAGCTTGCTGCTGCTCGCTGCCACCCGCAGCTCACTCGCTGCCGCCAGCTGCCATCAGCAGCCGCCAGCTACCACTGACCGCCACCTTTTCCTTGCCACTCGCTGCCACCCACAGCCCGCTCACGGCCGCCAGCCACCGCTAGCCGCCGCCAGTTTGCTGCCTCTCGCTGCCACCAGCAGCCCGCTTGCTGCCGCCAGCTGCCGCCCACTGTCTCCTGCTCCCTACTGCCGCCGGCTCCCGCTGCCTCCCTGCCACTGCCTGCTGCCACTGCTGGCTGCCCCTGCCAGCTGCCAGCAGCCAGCCGCCACCAGCCTGCCGCTGGTCAGCAGCCAACCAGCAGCCTGCTGGCCAGCCGCCAGCCGCTAGTCGCCAGCTGCTAGCCGCCCGCCAGTCGCCAGCCACCAATTGTCAGCTAGTTGCCACCAAGTTGCCAGCTAGCTGCTGCCACCAGCAGGCTCCTCTGGTTACCAGCCGCTACTGCTTCTCCTACTAGCGATGACACTGTCTTGTTTCTCTCGTCTCGAGCACCCTCCTGTAGTCTCCTCATAGTCCCAGAGCTCCTTGGTGCCTCTCCTGCCAGCATGGCGACCTCGTTGAACTATTTCCTTCGACTTGACGCTGAGGGCTGGGTGGTTGACTTTACGGCCTGGTTTCTCGCACTCCGCCGGCTGCTGGTGAGCCAGCGAGTCAAGGGCAAACCGCTTGAGGGCCACGTGATGGGTGAGCTACCTGCCATCCCCCGCGCTCAGCCTCTTGCCTTCGATGCAACGTCGGAGCATCGTGAGGTGTACGCACTGCACGAACTACGCATGACAGCTGGCGGGCTCGTGACGCTGCTGTGCTGCTGGCCATCACCCGGTGCTTGCTGGTCACTGAGCATGCGTGCTTTGCTTCAAACGAGACAACTCAGGCTCTCTGGACTGCAGTCGAGGCTCACTAGTCGCCCCCGTCCTCTGCCGCCCTCGGCCGCCTCATCCTCCTATTCCTCTTCCCCGACTTGGCCTCTTTCCCTACGGTCACGGATCTCGTCGAGCACCTCCAAGACCTTGAGGTACACTACTGTGCAGCCTGCCTTGAGGCCGTCCTCGCTACCCACCTTCCTCACCCTTTACCTCCTCACCACCCGCCTTCTTAACCGCCTCGCTCCTACGCGTGACGCGCTACTTGCACTGTCCCCCACTACCCTCACGATCGACCACTTCTCCACCTCCCTGACGGAGGTCGAGACTCACCTCTGCACCATCGCTAAGCCCACTAGCGCGGTGGTGGCCCCTGTCATTCACGGCTACTCTTCATCTCAGGCCCTTGTCTCAGGTGCCTCCGCCTCTGTCACTGAGACCGCTGCGGCGGTCACTGCACGTGGCCGCTCGGCCAAGCGCTCCCTATCCCGTGGTGGTCGTGGGGCATCGGCAGGTGGTTGGGGCACTGGTGAGGCCTCGAGAGCTAGCGGAGGAGTGGGTGTGGAGGAGGAGGGGGAGCAGAAGCAGCCATAGCAACAGCAGCAGTGACAGCGCTAGCAGCAGCAGAAGCGGCAGTGGGGTACTTGAGGTTCTGGGCATGGTGTGAGCCCTGGTGGTTGGGCCCCAGGGCAAGGACTGCCCTAGAGCTCAAGTGGCTCCTCCGGGGGCTAGGGTTGTATCGGGCCTGGGGATCCTATGAGTTGTGCGTACCAAATCCAGACTGGCCCTCTGCGCGGTCAGCTTTGCAACCGCACGGGTCAACTGCAGCAGCTAAGAAGTGTTGTGTGATGTCATCATATGCTATCACATTCTGTCTGCCTCCCATCCCATATTTTTTCAACTTGCATGTGTGGTTTGAACGTGTGCAAGAATTTGTGTGTGATGTGTTCTGGAGTTTGGGAATGTGTTTTGTGTTATTTTGTTTGAGCAGGTTTTTTGTGATGATAGATCTTGAGAAGATCTTTCCGACGCAACGAGAATCCCTTCAATCGGAGCAAGAACGCGAAAGCTATGAAGATTCAAAGTTCATGAGCTTGCGTTACAATTGCGGCGGTTACAAAGTGAAGTTGTGGGGTGACTCTATATGGAGTTGGGACCTTTGGGGGTTTGGGAAATTTGTCACTCACTGTAACAGCTGCAAATTGGTTGGGAACAACCAAGCTAGGTTGGCAAGGGTGGCCAACTTGGATGGATTGGTTGGGAAGGGACAAATGTCAAAGTTGGGGTTCCTATAGGGAGGGAATCTTTGTGCTTATGGGGTTTCCTTGGTTGGGGACTCTCTTGGGACCTTCCCTCTCATCCCTCTCTTCCTATCCCAACCTTTCTCTTGCTCCTTCTAATTCCTTGTGAGATTCTTGAACTTTGATTGAACTCTTGAGATTGAGTTAAGTTCTCCTCCTACAGCTTACCCCCTAGTGCGTCGAAAGCCATAGCGTCGCGAATACTTCATCAATCAACGTGATTCAAATTGGGAACGGTAGCTGAGATCAAGAGCTACAACATATCCAAGTTTCGCGACATTCCAACGGCTAGTGTTTTGTCGACGTCGTTTCTTGTGAAGACGACTTTTCTGTCCAGAATTTCGGATTTATATTTTGAGTAATTCTAGCTCCTAAGTTCACCTAGACTCTGTCCTTAATACTAACAAGTGGTATCAGAGCGATATTAAGGACATTGAGAGGAGTCTACAGAAGTGTGAAGACCCTTCTAGACCCACCATGGCCTGTGGGTGTGCCTAAGTGGTGTTCTAAAGGTTGGATGTGTCTTCCGCTAAGGGGAAACTCTGCCGAAATTTCGTGGACGCCGACACTTGTGAAAATATCGAGGGAGCTGAGTGTGGACAGCAAAGGGGAGCTGAAATTCGTCATTTCTCAAGGAGAAGATGAATGAGAGAGGAGGAGATGCTAATGGAAGAGGAGCTGTACCTGAGAAGACAAGTGAGCCGCCGCCATCAAAAGTTGAAGCTTTGGATGGCTCCAACTATGAGGAATGGAGCGGACGGATGAGGAGTGCCTTCAAACGCTACAAGCTACTGAAGATTGCTGTTGGGGAAGAGAAGATGCCGGAAGAAGGCGAAGCACGTGAACGGTGGATTGAGAAAAGCACGGTGCTTTTCGACCTCATCCTTCAATCGGTCAACAAGGAGATGTTCGAGCACATCAAGGATCTTGTGGAAGCGGATGATTCGGGTCCAAGGGCGTGGAAACTACTACGCGATGTGATTCAGCCCAACACTCTCCTGATGGTGATCGTGCTCGAGAAGGAACTTGCTGCCATCTCCATGCGACCAGGGGACGATGTGAAGCCGGTCCTTGACAAGATCAAGGACACCTATGCAAGGATGGCAGCAGCGGGCAGCAGTGTATCTCAGCTGCAGCAGTGCACCAAGATCATCTCGGTGTTGGACAACTCTTGGGACAACCTCATCCCCACCCTCAACTCTCAACAAGATCAATGGACACCTGAGTGGCTAAGGCAGCAGATTCTGCAGGAGGACTTCCGCAGACGCCATGTGGGAGGCGGTGCTGCCACTAAGACTGCTGAGGGGTATGGAGCTGCAGGGCGCGGCAGAGGAAGAGGGGGTTGGAGAGGCCGAGGCCGTGGGAGGAGCTTTGGCAGAGGTAGAGGCCGAGGTGACTATAATGAGGGGCATGGGAGCTCTAGTGGCAGGGGGAGTACCAGAATGGAGGGCACCTGCTGGTACTGCAAGAAGATAGGGCATCCTTGGTTCAAGTGCTTCAGCAGGCCGGAGGGATGGGCACCTCCAGGCATGAAGCCACCCAGTGGTGAACGCGCACAAGGTGGCGCTGTGCAAGATGAAGGTGCACAAGGTAACGCCTATCCTGGGATGTATCTCATGGTTGAGGATGTGCATGGGCATGAGGGTGATGTGGGATCTGTCGGAAAGGTTGTGATGCACCCTCTCACGCACTGGGTGATTGATTCGGGTTGCACCAGTCACATGACCCCACGGGCAGATTTGCTTGATGAGGTAAAACCCCCTGGGAAGATTAAGTATGTGGCAGCAGCGTCAGGTGCTTTGCTCCCCGTGATTGGTGTTGGGAATGCCAAGGTTAAGGGAGCTAATGGGGAGCTTGTGGGGCTTGGGAATGTTCTGCTGGTTAAAGGCTTGTCTGCTAACCTTCTCTCTGTGCGGCGGCTGCAGAAGAGTAAGGCCGAAGTGACCTTTGGACCAACCAGCTGCCGTGCTAAGCTTGGGAAGAAGGTGCTGTGGAGTCTGGAAGAGGAGACCAGCTGCATCAAGGACCTGTGGCAGCTGCCCATCATCCCTTGGAATGGGAAGACTCCAACAGCAGCAACGGCAGCAGTGGCAAAGGCAACAGCAGGAGGAGATGCAACTGCACCAACTGATGGGGTCCTGGAAGCAGTCAAGAAAGTGCAGAAGCAGCAGACACATGGTGAGGTGCTTGCTGGTGTGGATGCGAGTGCGGCATGGGCTAAGGCTTCATCAAGGAGTGGAGAGGCCGATTGGGAGACATGGCATGAGAGGTTGTGTCATGTGAACTTCCCTATGCTGCAGAAGTTGGTGAAGAATGGGAGCCTGAAGGGCTTGGAGGTGAAAGGGGAAGTGAAGGAGATTGGGAGCTGCCCTACATGCTTGGAGACCAAGTTCTCCAAGTTCCCCTTCAACAGTGCAACAGGACCAGCCAAGACCCCACTTGCACTTGTGCACATGGATGTGGTGGGGCCCACAAGAGCCCCTTCCCTCTCAGGCAGCCGCTATTTCTTGACAATTGTGGATGACCACACTCGGGCAGTGTGGGTTTACCCTTTGAACAGCAAGGGGGAGGTGGCAGCGGCTGTCCTTAAGGAGTGGATGCCTAGAGCTCAGAGGGAATGCGGACACAAGGTGAAGGTGATCCGCAGTGACAATGGTGGGGAGTTCATTGGAGCTGATTTTGAGGGGGAGTTGAAGAGGAAGGGGATCCAGCATCAACTGACAGTGCCCTACAATCCGCAGCAGAATGGCGTGGCTGAGAGGTTCAACAGGACCCTGCAGGAGGGGGCACGCACTCTCCTTGGGCGTGCAGGGCTACCTGATCCGTTTTGGGTGTCTGCACTGAGGCAGGTCGCCCTTGTGAAGAACAGGGTGCTGGCTACAGTTGGAGATAAGGAGTGGATCCCATATATCAAGTGGTATGGGAGTGCTCCAGCTGTGAACATGCTGAGGGCATTTGGGTGCATGGTAGTGTTTCATGTGCCTAAGGAGAAAAGAGGGAAGTTGGAGGCTTCTGGAAGATGGGGTGTGCACTTGGGGATTGCAAAGGATCACAAGGGGTGGCTGCTATGGGACTTGACCACCCAGAAGTTGACAGTGTCAAGGGATGTGAAGTTTCTTGAGTCCCTGTACTACAAGGAATGGAAGCAGCAGCAACAGAAGCTTCCATCTACACCGCTCATTGTGGAGGCAGATGAGGTGCAGCACCCTTCAAGACAGGTGGAGGTTGCAGTGTCAGAGGAGGAGATGTCTGGGGTGACTGAGGAAGGGGGAGCAGCTGAAGTAGAGCAGCAGCAGCAGCAGCAGCATGAGTCTCCACCTCGAGTTCCACACCCGCCTGAGCGTCCTAGGAGGGATGTGCGCCCTCCAGTGAGGCTGACCTATGGGGGAAGAGGCAAGCCGAATGTGGTGCAGGCTGGGAGTGTGGTTGAGCAGATTGAGGAAGATGAGATCGCTCACTGCTACTGGGCACCAATCCCTGAGCCCAAGACTCGAGAAGAGGCCTTGAATGGACCAAATGGGGAGAAGTGGAAGGCGAGTGAGGATGAGGAGTTCGGGTCCCTAATTGAGAACGAGACATGGGACCTGTGTGACTTGCCTCCTGGAAAGAAGGCAATCACTTCCAAGATGATCTACAGGCACAAGTATGGACCTGAAGGGGAGCTGACCCGCTACAAGTCTAGGCTTGTGGCACGGGGGTTTCAGCAGACAAAGGGGAAGGACTATGATGAGGTGTTTGCTCCTGTGGGGAAAGGAACAACACTGAGGGTGCTGTTGGCGATAGCTGCACTCCTGGGATGGAAGATACGGCAGATGGACATTGTGACTGCTTTTCTGAATGGGATCATTATGGAGGAGGTGTACATGAAGCAGCCAGAGGGGCTGGATGACGGGAGCGGCAGGGTCTGCAGGCTGAAGAAGGCCATCTATGGCCTTAAGCAGGCGCCTCGTGCATGGTATCACAAGTTGGAGGAGGCGCTGTTGGCTGGGGGTTTCAAGAAGAGTGAGTGTGACCCCAGCCTGTTCCTGCTGCAGGAGAAGGATGAAATCCTCATGCTCTTGGTGTATGTGGATGATATCCTTCTCTTTTCTGCATCCACTGCTTTGCTGGACAGCGCAGAGCAGATGCTGGAGATGCAGTTCAAGTGCTCCAAGATGGGTGAGGTGAAGTACTACTTGGGGATGCACGTGGAGAGAGATGTGGAAAAGGGTGTGCTGAGGTTGCACCAGAGGAAGTACTGTGAGGGGCTGGCTGAGAAGTATGGGCTGCAAGATGGGGGAAAGCCAGCAACACCACTACCTTCAGGGTTTACTGTGGAGCCATGTGCTGATGAGGAGGTAGTGGGTGATAGTGACAGGAAGCTGTTTCATTCGATGGTTGGGTCGCTGAATTATGCTGCAAATCATACACGGCCTGACATTGCATTTGCTACATCACGATTGGCTAGTGTGGTCTCACGCCCTAGTCATGAGCAGCTGGAAGCGGCCAAGAGGTTGGTCCGCTATGTGAGCGCTACGGCATCAGTGGGATTGGAGTACAGTGGAGTGAGGCAGCGGTTGCAGAGAGGTGCTGCAGATGTGAAGAGTGGAGAGATGCTCTTGAGTTGCTATACTGACGCTAGCTTCAACTCAGTGAAAGCGGATGGCACCAGCATTGGGGGTTATGTGTGCTTGCTAGGAGGTGGTGCTGTGAGCTGGCGCAGCAAGAAGCAGAATGAGGTGGGATTGTCCTCATGTGAGACTGAGTACATGGCCTTACACCATGGGGCCAAGGAAGTAGTGTGGCTAAGGCGTTTGTTGGAGGAGTTGGGAGTTGGTCAGGAGAAGCCGACAGTTGTGTTTTGTGACAATGAGTCCGCTGTGAAGCTCGCCAAGAATGCTTGTCTGCATGGGCTGACAAAACACATAAGGCCTAAGTGGCATTGGGTGAGGAGACTCCTTGATAAGGAGGTGCGGCTGGAGATAGTGAAGACCCATCAGCAGGCAGCAGATATTTTCACCAAGCGTCTGGCGGAGGCGGATCATTGGAAGGGCATGAAGCTTGCTGGGATGAGTGTGCATTGAGTATGCATGCTTGAGATGTTGGTATGGTGGATGATGGTTGGCAGCCAGAGGGGGAGATTGTTGTGTGATGTCATCATATGCTATCACATTCTGTCTGCCTCCCATCCCATATTTTTTCAACTTGCATGTGTGGTTTGAACGTGTGCAAGAATTTGTGTGTGATGTGTTCTGGAGTTTGGGAATGTGTTTTGTGTTATTTTGTTTGAGCAGGTTTTTTGTGATGATAGATCTTGAGAAGATCTTTCCGACGCAACGAGAATCCCTTCAATCGGAGCAAGAACGCGAAAGCTATGAAGATTCAAAGTTCATGAGCTTGCGTTACAATTGCGGCGGTTACAAAGTGAAGTTGTGGGGTGACTCTATATGGAGTTGGGACCTTTGGGGGTTTGGGAAATTTGTCACTCACTGTAACAGCTGCAAATTGGTTGGGAACAACCAAGCTAGGTTGGCAAGGGTGGCCAACTTGGATGGATTGGTTGGGAAGGGACAAATGTCAAAGTTGGGGTTCCTATAGGGAGGGAATCTTTGTGCTTATGGGGTTTCCTTGGTTGGGGACTCTCTTGGGACCTTCCCTCTCATCCCTCTCTTCCTATCCCAACCTTTCTCTTGCTCCTTCTAATTCCTTGTGAGATTCTTGAACTTTGATTGAACTCTTGAGATTGAGTTAAGTTCTCCTCCTACAGCTTACCCCCTAGTGCGTCGAAAGCCATAGCGTCGCGAATACTTCATCAATCAACGTGATTCAAATTGGGAACGGTAGCTGAGATCAAGAGCTACAACATATCCAAGTTTCGCGACATTCCAACGGCTAGTGTTTTGTCGACGTCGTTTCTTGTGAAGACGACTTTTCTGTCCAGAATTTCGGATTTATATTTTGAGTAATTCTAGCTCCTAAGTTCACCTAGACTCTGTCCTTAATCCTAACAAGAAGAAGGGAGGGTATGGAGCCTCCGTTACTTGGGGGCGGATGTGAGAAGGTCCAGCGGCCTTTGCAGGGGTGCTCGGCACATAGTCGCCCGCATGATGTGCCCGTTCGCCACAACTGGGTGGTGTTTTCCTTTGCTCCCCGCTTGCAGGTTCGCCATGGTCCCCTCTTCACAGCGCCTTCGGAGAGCCTCGGGCCAGCGGCTCTAGGGAGCTGCCACGCTCGCGTTTCCTCGCCCCACCGCTGCCAGCAGATGGCTGCCCACAAAACACCTCCTCGAATTCTGCATCGCTTTCAAAGTAGCCGTGCACAGGGTTCGAAGCGGCAGCCTTGCTCCTTGTGCAAGGCATGGTTCCTGTGGATGGCAGCCCTTTCGCCTTCTTCATCGCAGGGACAAAAGCGGTGTCGGTGAAACGGGTCCCGCGGGAATCTTCCTGCTTGTGTTTTCCTGCTCCATTGCTATCGCCGCGCGCTCCACGCTCCTTCTCCAGTTCGGTTTCTTCCCCATCAGACATGGCTACACCTGGCCGGGATGCCTTTGCCTTGCGCCGAGATGTGGGCCGCTCTGCATCGTTGCCACCATCACCCGGTAGTTTCTCTTTCGCCGCCACCTTGCCGCACGTGGTAGGCACCGCCACTTCAACCACTCGGCGCCGGCCTAGATCATTCGCAGCTGACTTGCCATCCCTGTTCCTCCTCGCCTCCACACCACTCATTGGGGCGTCCGTATTGGCATTGTGGACCGCAGCCACCCCACGTTTTTCACGAGAAGAAGCACCATTGGTGGTCTTGCCACAAGTCTTCTTCGGAGGTGTCTCGTCGTCATCGTCAGAAGAATTGTCTGCATCAAACGCCGGCTTCGCCATGGTCTCTGGGTCACGCTCGTTGTACAGCCGCCGTATGTGATTCCCTTCATCCTTGTTGCGTGGCTGCTCGTCTTTCGATACGTACTCGCAGTTGTCCTCCCCTTCCTCATCCCCGTCAGAGTGATCTTCATTGTCACTATACGCCTCGTCATTCTCCTCCTCTCCCGGCTGAGGTGGAGGTGTAGCCTTAACCGTGCGCCCTTTCTCTGAAACACTCACAAACCGGTCAAGAAAGGGGGGTAAGTCGGCATGACATGGCGACGTAATCCCTTTTATTTCAAACGGCAATATCGTCACCACGTTTGTTGTTCGCTCCAACATTTTTGGCTTTCTCAGCAGGCGAACCTATGTCATTAAGCGCCTTCTTGCGGCCCTTGTTACGCTTATCCTCCTGCGCTATAATGTTCTCGATGCGCATGTCATAGGGCAGCCATTTCCTCTGTTTGCGGGGAGCTTCTGCAGCAGTGGGCTGGGCTTTCGTGCCGGCCTTCTCCTCTGTTAGAGACTGTGGGCCATCGTGCTGGAGTGGCATAGGCATCTTTGCACGAAATTGGCCTATGACATTTCGCATGAATAACGCTATCGCATCCTGCTGTTCCTTGGCAGTGAGATTTCTGCGAGCTAAGCCGACGTAATTGCTCCTATAGCGGGCAGGAAGTTGCCCCTTGGAGGGCGCCATAGCTCAAGGAATAGGGAACGCCGCACATCTTGGAATTATGGCAATGCAGCATTTGTACAAGAGGATATTGAGCAATGAGCAGACGAAATTGCGAGTAGAAGAGCGGCAGGGACGAATTGTTCAAGGGAGACGCTGATTGGCTGTGGCTAGGGTTTCGACCATTCCAAGGGCACCCTGGGACCACGGCCAATTCTGTGCCTTGTTTCAACAGTCAGATGCGACGGCGCGTGGCCAGAAAACAGGCATCAACGGTCCACAATGCAATTTGGCGCATACACCTAGAATGAGTGGCCGAGGGCAGTGGCTCACTCATATTTGCGTGGTAGACGATGGGTGTAAGCTTGGCCGTCCACAAAATGGAAGACTCAGTAGGCCGCATGATAAGCCTCGCACGTCGTTGAAGCTGATTGGCTCGACAATTCCGATATTACAATGCTGTGTAACAAAGCATCTAGTTCTACGATGAAAAAAGCAAAACATTATGGTATAGTGCTCTCATAGAAACGAGGGGCTTGATAGGGAACAAATGAAGTGGGGCAAATCCCACTCAATGAAATGTGAGTCTTCTTGTTAAGCACCACACACTGCTGGCCCGCCAGATCTAGGTCGACCTCCCACGCTGTGGCGAGCGCAGCCGTGATTTCTTGTGTGAACTCTCAGATTCATATCGCCTTATCAGTAGACGCGATAAGCAGTGGTGACGTGGCTGCTTTCCGGGTTTTTTTCATGCCTTATCCACGCGGCAGGGGTTGGTTAGGCATCGGTTTAGATGCGGTGAAATCACTGATTGGGGATGTGTGGCTTCGTGGCGAAATAATAGACTGGCTGGGGATGTGCGTGGCATTCCAGGCATCATGCACTCTTACAGTATTTGAAACCAGCTACTAACACTTGCTTCCTATTTCCTTTGGCAGCAGGCTTCAGTTTGAGTATGGATATGACGCGCCTCCCTTTCTCTATGCAGGGATCTATTTCTACCACAACGTGTGCAAGGATCGGGATGCATGATCTCGAAACTTCTCATACGGGGAGAACACCCTTGTTTACGCATTTGTGCTGGTTCCTGTAAATCAACAGTGAGTCCTCTACCATCGCCCTTTGCTCTTGCGGCTTCTCTACAAGCTGCTCTCTACCACGTCAGCTAGCTTTGGATCTGTCTACACGTGCACACGCTTTATGTAATGGGGCCTGTTTGCTGGCAAGCAGCTCAGCTCACGCTGCCCGCTCTCCCTGCGCAGGCTCTGTGGCAGGGAAAGCGGGTTCTTACCTCCATTACCTCGCAAGTCAACGCCGGGGCCCCAAATAGTCCTGGCTTCAACAAATACCGTGTGG